TTAATGCAGAACACCATGAAATTCCAAAAGGTTCACATACTTTTTCTTGCAACTGTAGATAATACTGAACTTGGTAACTGATATATAGGTATAATATATCTCTGGAAGTGGTATATCACATGGTATTTATTGCAGAATTTTCATGGTTCTGAGGGATACAGAGTGAATTGCATCTTACTTTTTTTGCAGAAATGTTAGCTTATTTAAGGAAAAAATAAGGAAATTATTAACAGTAATGAAATTGATTCACACTAAAGAATTTTGTGTTTTTCAGGTTGGTGTCACTATACATAATAGTAGTTTTAATATCACTAGAATAGTGACTTTCACACCTTTTTTAATGATCACAAATAGAAGTACCCATGCTTTAGAAGTAGCTGAAGAAGGCAATGAAAATTGGATACCAATACTTTTCCAGCAGGTAAGCTTTTAAAGATCTACCTGTATTCGTGTACCCATAGTAAACAGTCTAACTTCACAAATTATACATGAATTGTTCCTTTGCATTCCATTAGCTTTTCTGTTAATAATTATTTACTGGTTTTACCTTATTTTATATTACAATATAAAAGACTTGGCTTATATGCAATGTGAAGAGCCTGTTTGGTACCGTGGTTAAGGGACCAGGCTACAAACCAGGAAGTCTGCTGGGTGACCTTGGCCCAGTCATTCTCTCTCAGCCCTAGGAAGGAGGCAATGGCAAACCACTTCCAAAATGTTGTCAAGAAAACTGCAGGAACTAATCCAGGCAGTTGCCAAGACTCAACAATAACTCAAAGGCACAAAATAAAATAATAAAATAAAATATGCAATATTCACCAATATCCTAGGTTTTTTTAAAGGGCTGTTTTGAAACAAAATGTCCACAATACTGTATATGTCTTTTTCCCTACACTTTAAAAATTGCCTAATGTCAGATTATTGAATGTTTGTTGCCTCAAAATCTCATAGGATGAGATGAAAATTGACAGTAACTATTAAAGTCACTAACTATTCTTATAATAACTTGGCTATTTTATAACTGTGGTTAAAAGAGAGACTGTCAGAAAAAGTGAAATTACTGCTAAGCAAGAATGCAAACTGCCCAAAGTTAATTCCACAGTGAAATTTTGCATATAACTTTGACTTAATCAAATCTGGGCTTTCCCAGTTAACATATTCCTTTGTACAACAAGGCAATACAGTTATTATTTTAGTTTTCTTCTAATTTTGTGCTACCATGTACTAAAAATCACAGTTAGAATTCTATATATTTTTGTAAATTGTAACGTAAGTGAATTATATTCCTACAAGGATTTTTTGTACTTTTACTAGTATGTATTTTCTTATAAAGAACAGATTCATACAAATTTCTAAAGGTGAAATTTATTAGATTATTAAAATTTTTGTTGTTGTGCTATATACCAGTATTCAGTGATGTTTAATAATTGGCTTTCAGGATGTTGTATGTAACTTTATATTCAAGTAAAGAGGAAGTATTGTTTCTTGACAGCTACAGTTCCATGATATGTTTTCTTTACAAATGCATTTCATTCTTATTTCAGTGTACTCCATATTGGCCTGAGAATAATGAAAGCAAGTTACAGGTTAGAGTAAAAGATTCTGATATTCCACCAAAAATTATACAACTTGATAAACAAGAAAATTGTTTACTACTTCACTTAGATAACAAGGTGAGTATATAAAGATAAATGAGAAAAGACTGACAAATTGCCTGCAATTCTGGCTCCCAACCTTTTAAACAGTTAAATAATAATCTGGAATGATGATGCCACAATTTCAGTGTGATGGGTAGAGCTGATATTTTTCCCTTTGTGATGGTTTTGAGAAGGGCATTTTAAACTGTTCCTTCTTCCTATGCTTATCCACAACAAATGACCAAATTTCTATGACTAAAATTTGGTGATATTGCTGCCAATGTTTAAGTGTGTAGTCTAAGGGTGCTGAAGGCAATGTGTGTCCTGTGGGTCATTGGTTGTCCACCTGTGCCATAACAAGTTCCAAACTAACTCGGAGTTCCTCTTCCCTTACCTTTTTAAGACTTTAAAGAGAGTCTGATATATTTGTTATAAAGGTTTAGTATAATATTAAAGAGGTTGTTTTAAATTTTATGGATGTACATTATTCTCCAAATATTCTTTTGTTCCATTTGGTAAGATTTCATAAGCTTAAGGTAAAATGAATACACTTGTTTAATTTGAAACCATGTTGAAACAAATGAGTATTTTTAAACCTTTAAAATATGCCATCGTCAATTGAACTTCTGCAGTTAATGCAGTTATTTATGATGATAAGTAAGATCAGAAATGGGCAATTTTTGCATGTTTCATCTTCCTGCCTGACCTGTAAAGTTGGAATGAATAGGCCTAAAATATGTTGTTAGGTTTTGGCATTTTGGAAGGGTTTCGGAACATGTAACCCTTTCCATATTTTAAAATCATAGTAGTAATTGGTCATTTTGCTATCAGTTTTGGATCAGAAACATTGGGATTCTTGAGGCTCACAAAGTAAGTGTTGGTGGGCTGCAGGATGGTCCCTCAGTTACATGAATGAATAGTCAATGTAACATATTCTTTACATATCTGCTAGCTTGGCGGTATGGTTGTGGATATTACGCTAGCTGAACATTCAACAACAATTACATTTTCTAATTACCATGATGGTGCAGCCCCATTCCTGATAATTAATCATACCAAAGAAGAAGTAATTGAATATGGACAAAGGTATGTATGCAATATTTTATTCATATACTGTTGAAGATAAATATCATAAATTTTGGCACTGTATGAATAGTGATTATGTATTATTAACACATTCTTGTTAATAGTTAATCCTTATCAATGGTGTTTCTAGCGCAATTGGTAAACTAGTCTATCCTGTTTACTGGTTATTGTTGTTTGACTGCTGAACAAAAATGAGAGAAAAGTTCTTCAAATAAAAGGAAAACTCTGTAATCTGTCTCCACCCCTGCCACTTCATGTATCCAGAATTTGAAACAGCAGAGTTACAGTGAAATATAAACATCTGAGAAATTTATCTGTTATTAAGTCTACCTATATATATTAAGCTTCTATCATTTAATTTTAAAAACTCAATCTGAACATTCCTATATAGCCAAGGGAATGTTTAATTTGAGTTTTCAGTTTTCATTTGCTTTGGGAGGGAAATAAGTTTCATGAGGGTGTGTTTTGCATTGAAATCTACATTTTCCTATTTTTGTTGCAGCTCTCTCTGTGTAATGGAAGAAACTTTAGAACCAAATAAAGCAGTATTGTATACATGGGCTGATCCTATAGGGTCTAGAAGATTGAAATGGAAATGTGGAAAGAGCAGTGAAGAAATAACTCAGAAAGATGTATGTATAATGTTTCAAATCAGTATGATACCTAACAATCAAAGAATTTATTTTTTTGAGGGAGGGAATGTTTAGAATACAGTTGAGATCAATACAGTCAGCAGCAAATATCCATGAAATGGGGAGGGGGGGATAATGGAAATCTAGGATTGGATAAATTGAATAATGTACTGTAGCAGTAAAGTAGAATTAGAGCTATTTTGTCTTAGAAGACTTAGACTTTAGCTAATAGATGACTTAAGTTGGTAGCTGAGACCCTATCTACTTTTGATGACTTTTTGTGGCTTTATTTGGATAAGAGTATCTAATTTGTGCCATTGTCCAGATTCGTTTTTCTTCTCCCTATTAAGAGGTTGTTTATTTTAAGCAGTGAGAATCTTACATAAATCCCTTCATTTTAGTTTAAATAATTAATAACAGACTCTCCTGTAAATTAGAACATTAGATTGGTCCACCCCTGGCGACTAATGGACCCAGACGGGTTCCAGAGGGAGCTGGGGGCTGTTCCTGTTGGTCTGCTGCACAGCCCATCTGAAGCCTTGATTCCTGCCTGGAGTAAAAGGGCAGCTGAGGCTTTGGATCAGATAGTGCTGATGCGACCTCTACCCTCCCATGGATCCCATCACTCCTGTCACTCCCTGTGGTTTACAGAGGAGCTGAGGGAGATGAAACCAGAGAAGAGATGTCTAGAGCATTGCTAGCGCTCATCTAAGGACGAACTCAACCAAACACGGGTTAGAGCTGCTATTAAGGCCTACTAAGTGGCAGTAAGGTCGGCAAAGTGACAGCACTCCTCCGCCCTTATTGCATCTGCAGATTGCCACCTGCAGCCCTGTTTCAGGTGATATGGGTCCTCTTACAGGGGGCCCGGACAATCTTTTGCAGTGTTGTGCGGAGGAATTTGCTCAGCATCTGTCGGATAAAATCGCTCGGATTCATTCACAGTTGAACGCTGGCTTTGCTGCAGATCTGTGGGAGATGCCTAGGGTGGAATCTTGCCCAGTTATCTGGGAATGGTTTGAACCAGTTGGATCTGATGAAGTGGACAAGGTCCTTAGGACTGTGAACTCAGCCACCTGCTCTCTAGATCCGTGACCCTCCTGGCTTGTGAAAGCAGCCCGGAGTGTGTCATGTGGGTGGATTCTGGCAACGGTGAACTTTTCTTTGAGTGAGGGGATTGTTCCTGCACCTCTAAAGGAGGCTTTGGTTTACCCCCTCCTCAAGAAGCCATCGCTGGACCCCACGATACTGGACAACTTTCATCCAGTATCCAACCCCCCCTTTTTGGGGAAGGTGATTGAGAAGGTGGTTGTGCAGCAGCTTCAGAGGACCTTG